AAACTCTGCCACTTTAATCTTAAATAGACACCAAGCAATCCCTATTCTTTCCTAAGAGCATAACAGATGATTTGGTTGGATTTATGAATAATATTGTTAGTGCTGTAGTATTAGCTTTAGTTCGTTGCTTATAGTTCACAACCAATATAGCATTAATGGAGTCGAGATTGAGGCCGCCACTAGCATTAAAGACATATCTTTTTGGTTCGCTCTAGACTGGAGTATGCATTTATGGTATGGTCTCCTTATTTTGCCTGCCATGTAGACAACATCGAAGCCATTCAGATCTTTGGTTTCAAAGGCGCATATCAATATCTATGTTGGGTATCAGATCAACTCTAACTAAGGCCTTCAATATTTATACTCTTCAAACCAGAAGATTTCAGAGTGATTTAGTTTTTCTCTTTAAGATTCTGAATGGTTGCTATTATTGTCCAGCTCTTTTGCACAGCATACAATTTGTCCCATATTATAGAAGCTGTGATGAATCATTGTTCCGCACACCTTACCATCGTGCAAATTATGAAGTTTATTCACCCCTTACTAGAATGCTGAAAGCGTGCATTTGTCTAAAGCTTGATCCTTTTGTCGGCAGCCTCCGCTCATTTCGTTCTGATGTGTTCCGTTTGAGTGCTTCCGCTTAATTATATTTATTGTTATTGTTATATTTTGTTCTGGTTTCTATCTGTTATACTGCTGTCTTTCTCCTCTTTGTCGTTAATGAATGTAAAAGTTTTGTAAATTGGTTAAACCGTAAATAAATAAATAAATATATAGATTGATTATCAATCCGTGACGTGCTGAGAATTTTGTTAGTTCTTTTAAATCTTTATTAATTAATTGTTAGGCCGCATACCAAGTACTGGAGACAAACTAATATTAATAAATGAATAAAATGACTCGTTTATTAAACACTCGCTGCGCTCATATCGAATAAACTCGTGAATCAAATGCCGTTTATCGCACTTGTTGCATAATATACTATTATTTTTGGAGTAATGCGTAATAAGAATTTGTCATTTACAATAACGTTTAAATTATTTTGGTTATATTGTAACAATATAGGATCTCTTTGTTGTTTATTTTTTTAGAACTGTAAGAAATACTGGTTCGTATCTGAAGGTCTATTTAAGCCATCAGGGAGACATATATTTGCAAATTTTTTTAAATGGCCAATTTTTCAATTATCCCTCGTAGCTCAGAAATTCTAGGTGCTACACAATAGTAAATTGCGCAACAAGTGCGGTAAACGGCATTTGACGAGTTAAAAAGTTTACCGAACGTGTTGCACACTCTACTTTTTCTACGACTGTTACATTTTGAGTACATTTTCGCAAAACAACACATTCACTGACATGACCGTCAGAATTGACAAACGTCACAATTCAAGGCGTGGAAAATATCTCCGAAAACATCCGATTGTTCCCAAACACGTGCGGTAAAATCCCGAAAATGTCCGAAATGGCTCAGATCCGTGGAAGACGAAACTGAAGTGGTAAAGCGGTGGTTTCCGCACGTTAGATCGGTCTGCAAATAGGCGTGTTTCAGACGGGAGTAGAAAAAATCTATTGCCACAATTTTCAACTCTCAAAAAAATAATAGTGCAATGTGCGAACGCCATGTTGGTATCTCCAATAATAAGAGCGTTTCCTATAACGAGTAACCACATCGAAAGTGAGACACCCTGTATTGTTTTTTTATAATTATACCTATATCCCTTATCGTCCCGTATACTGTATTAAGGAATAAACGTCCGACTTGAAATGATTAACGCAATTATAACGTTTCGAGTGCTCGCCACCTCGAAGCAAACAGTAACGATTTACCTCCGGCTCGTCCTAATTATTAATTGCAGCTACCTAATCAAAATTGCCGGATTCTGTTTATCCGGTCCGCTCTCCCCAAATAAGGGTACTAATTACCGTTGCGCCCGCGTAGTTTAATTACCCCGTTAATTAATTATGAAAGCTTCATTGTATCAACACCTAACGCTATTTAGATAATGTTCTCTGCTATTTTGCTGCCGCGCCGTTCGTCGGTTGCATGGGCCGTCCCCCGCGCGTCCCGCCCCCGCCCTCCGCCACCAACCCCTAATTTTCGGGTATTGCTTAATTTGTTTCCGCGGAAATTAGTTGGCAGCGGTAAATTTATAACGCGCCCAAAGTTCCGCAAAGTTTTGCAGGAATTAACAATTTTCTAACTGACAAATAGGGAATATAAACGAGTTTGTCGGTTAATTTGGATATAACGCTTTTGGGATAATTTCCCTGTTACTTGGCCGTTCGAGCGATATTCGGTCTCGCAAGATGTTCTTCGTTAATAAAATGTATACCGTGTGTATTCATTAGAAATCACCAGGAATTAACCAAAAAATTAAAGACATCAAAATAAAGACTTGGTAACTAAAACTAATGTGTTCAAATATTGCTTGGTGTATATGGAAGAAGCCCTAAAGGTAAAGGTTTTATTTATTTATTTTACACCATTTTACAAATTTATGAATTAATTACATTATTATTAATATTAATAACCAAACTATGGACAGTAAAAAACTACATATCATTCAGGTGGTAGTACTACAAATCAATTTAATAAAATTTGTCTTAATTTAATTTTAAAACTATTTAAATAACACCGAGAAAATCAATGGTATTCTATTGATTTACAAAGCATGAGCATGTCAAGTATTACTCAGTACAGGAGACAAAAGGTGACTCCCTCTCAATTCTCTAGAAGGGACATGAAAATTAAAACAAAAAAAAACGCTCTCGCCTTTCCTATACTTAAGATACTTTAAACATTTGCTCATTACAGCGTCAATTCGGGTTTTTGAATTTCGTAAAAAGGAGACCAGATTGTTGACTCATACTCCAAGATAGAACGGACATATGAAAGAAACTATAATGATATGACAATACATCACAAATTCACAAAATCTCCAGACATTCTCGGCACCAGACCCAAGATACGGTTAGCCCGACCAATGACATCCTACAAGTGCCGCTCAAAACGATTCATCCATAATGATACGTAAATCCTTTATTACTTGCACAATCGTCCATTCTATTTAAGCAATCAGCAGTGTTTTTACTTCGAGAGAAAACCCTACCTGTACATTGGACAGTATTTAGTTTTTATTTGTTTAATCTGTAAAAGTGAATAATTTGACTATAAATGATGACCTACATCATTTACTAGAAGAAGAAACAGTTTTGGGCCCAGATGGGACCCCTGAGGCACTCCGAATATTACATCTATGTGGGGGAGAGAAAACAGCTGACCTTGACCTGTTGAATACGGCCCTGGAGATAGCTTGATAGCCACGAAACGAAACTCTAATACCTAACTTTTGAAGTTTGTTCTGTAATACTCTAGGTCTAGCAAATCAAACGCCACGAAGTTAGTATAAGTAAAAAGGTTCGTCACAGTAGAGCGGTCATTCACGAATCCATGCTGCTGCTCAACAATGATATCACCAAGAACTCCGTCCAGCACTGGCAAAACCATCATTACCAGTATCTTAGGTATTGCTAATTGTATGCAAAAAGGCCTGTAGTAGGCCTTTTTGTATATTGTATATCTCTCTGGGAATGTGTCTAGATTAAGGGACTTATTAAATACAACAATAGCGACTCACACGTAAACGACCATATCGCCACATTTTTGTAAAACAGCACGACCACCAAAAAACTAATAGTAATAGAAAAAGTATAGTATGTACATAGGGGAGGGTGGGACAAAGCGGACCCCTGAAAAATTAACCAACATTTTTGTTTCGTTTTTTCTTTCTAATTATAAATTATAGTTATTTTTACATTTTTAGCCCGTTCCTTAATACCAGCGGTAAAATGGACCTCTTAAAAATTCTAAAAAAGAAAACTATTCCATATTTTTTTGGCTTTCGAAAATTTTATAAATATAGTTACTAATCAGTGACTTTTTTTTATTAAATACTTTTTAATAAATAATTTTAACTATTATAGCCCGACGACCACCCTGGGACACAACTGACCTCTCATCAATAAAATAAATTAAGATAAATCGACTTGATAGTTAAAAGCTACAATCAATAATAAAAAGCTTAAGTTCTTGAACCAAATCTCCCGGTTTACAATGCTTTCAGCGCAAGCGTGTTGTCACTGGTACCTAACAGTATCGACGACTTTGATTTTTATTTTCCACTCCCCTCTGATTATTTTTGTCAAATATTTCCTAATATTATTCGATGAAAACAATTCAACAAATATTTGCTCTAAAATTTTTACTGCACTTTCGGCAGTATCCGATACAAGTTACAAACTACAATAAAAAATATGTATAAGGTAATGTTATCTTCTTATGATAATACTCCGTTTCCTCCCTTCCTTCCATAACTTTAAAACCCCAATAATTTTCGTATAATTTCTGACTCGATTGTCATATTCTTAGGCGTAAATCACACGCGACTAAGTGAATATATTCTTGCTGTTTTGCAAAAATGGACCCAAAAACTATTGGTTGTAGAAATATTTTTGTGTGCAACACGTTAATAAATTTCATCATTCGTTTATTAAGCAACTAAACAAAGAAATCAAAACTAACTTTGAACTGCAATTTGTTGCACAGAACGTGTTTTAATTACTAATTGAATTGCTCTGAAAGGTGCTTCAGTACAAGAAAAAATAAGATTTTTCGCGTTAGTCCCACTCCGTTCTCTGTACTGAATTCTTAAAATATAGAAGATCACTTCGTTCCCCCATCGAATATTTTGCATCTAACAATTGCTCCTGCTTTTGTGGCTACCAACATACTATCTTCTTTAATTTACAACGATCGGATGAGTCTCTAATACTTTTTCGATTTGCTGATTGGTCAAGTCCAAATGCCTCTGCTAAAGCACAACAGCACTGGATAGCCTGTACAAAGGCTACCTCGGTATCCATATGCCATGTTCATTCGAGGTTACCAGCTATGCCAGACTAAATGGAATCTAAATTATAGAACTGATATTTCTTTTTTAGGCGGCAGACTGCAGAAGAAAGAGAAGCCGAACGGCAGGCTGCGAACAGATTAATGTTGTCCCTTCAAGCTGAAGCTCTGACAAAGGGCTACATGAATGAAGGTCCACCGCCAGCTTCAGCGCCCAACGACACAGCATTGAGTGCTCTACAGAACCTTCAACCCTGGGCAGGACCTTACAATGCACCTCAACCCGCCCTTGCGGAATCCATGTGTTAACGCGAACGCAAGTAACGACCTGGTTTGGTTACTAAGTTGCTTTAGAATCGTAACGATGAACGATGGATATGTGATGAGGTGCAATACAAGAAATTTCGACTTCGGAGCGATTTTAAGATGAATGACAGACGATGTTTGTGCAATAAGATGAATTTGAAAAGACTCAATTCCAAATAGTGACTGCAATCTTAATCTTTCACGTTTTGCGGTTGTTGGATGCTGGTTTGTATCGGCGTCGATTATGATTCGCTTGTGCCACTGGAGTTAAATGAATGCACTTGTCACATATGCGACGTCGTTTAATTTAGCGATTAAAAGATGTAGACGCAACAATTAAATTATCGAGATGACAAAAAAAGTAAACTTTGTCGCAAATTTAATATTATTCCACAACACGCAACAAAACGCACTTCAAAATATTCTTTGTTGTATATTTTTAAAGCAACAGTTTGTTATGTTATTGTCTTTGTGCTTTTAAAAAAATATTTAGCCCTCATAAGGCATTTTCTAACATTAATTCATCCTAAAGTTTTCGCTACGTGTCAATATTTCAACTTTTTATGGTTATATTAAATGCGTTGTTTAGTATATCAGCACCTCGCTAAATTTCAAACGCGATGCTAATTACAAATGAATTTTGTTTTTAAAGAAATGTAAAACTTAAGACTAGTGGAATAATACATACTTGACAAAACACAACATCCTGTAGATTATTTTGTGAACGTGAACTTAACTTCTAATTATTGATGTGTTTTGTGGCAGCCGTGTGAGTGGGCGACGCAAACATTGATCTGTTAAAGTGCAAACCAAACCGGACTAAAATTTAGAGAAATAATTGCCTTCATTCTTAATGATCAGTAACAAAAAAAAAACAGTAGCATTTTTTAGATATCCATTATCAGCATTACTTTCTATTTAATAATTTACTTCCACCGAGACTTTTACTTACTATTATACTATTGGTTTAGTTATCAAAATCTTGAAAAGCAAAACAAATAAAATAAGATGTTGCATTGAATATTGCGTTAAACATTATTATTAATTAATTTCACTTTGATCTGAATAAAATTTAAAAAATTAGTGAGTTCATATTCATAATGATGTTTCATTCATTATTTTTTGAGGGGTAAACCACTAAATTATTGACGAATTCTAAAGAATTTTAAGTAGAAAAAGAGTTGGGGTGTACACGCTTCCCTCTACGGTTTACTTATTATTTTCGGTCAGATTCAAAATAATCAAACTCAAGGTAATTCTACGAGCAAATTCATTTTAAAGATAATATATCTGCAAATTCATTTTAAAGATAATATATCTAGTACACCAAACAAACTGATTATAACCAGAAAATTTGCAACAAAGCTATTACTTTTTGGCGATCGAAAGACCGAGCAAAATAATTAAAATAATATCCGCAAATTACTTGCAAAGGTGTAAGAACACATTTTCACCATTTATTGTAAAACAACCGTCAAAGACGATGTAAATAGTTTGTTAATTATAAATAAACGACATATGTATTTCGTGATGAATAAAACCGTACTTAATAGGTGACAAAAATGTTTTTTCTCATGTAATTATGGTAGTATATGATTTCAATTGTAGATAGCACAGAAATTATTGTATTAAAAATAAAATTGTGACACCATCGTTATGTTGTTTGATTGTGCTTTCGTGAAACACACGCAACCGTGTCCGTGAGCGGAAGTGACTGAAAATATTGTCGCTTTGCTGTCGGACTTTTTGATTATGCCGATTTTTTTTTAATTTAGGACTAGCCAATATTCATCTAAAATTTTCTCCAATTTCCTACTTATTCATCTTCACCTGAATACATTTTTAAATTTACAGAAAAATTTTCACATCTAGTTGATCGTGATTCTCAAAAATTATACCAACGAACACTAAGCCCGATGACAAACGAGCTTTCATTCGTAGCCACAAGGACGGAATACATTTTTCAAAAACTCATATTTTTATTTGCGAAAGTGGCTAATTAAATTAAATTATTGTTTTTATTTCTCCTACCTAATATAATCGATTGAAATAAAAAATAGGAAACTAAATTTTTTTTAGATCTTTGTTGATAATTGGTATCCACACGCAATCTTTCTGTCCCAACGAAAGATGTCGCCTTAATTGACCTATTATTTCTTTAATCTAATTTTGCTTTTCGCGATAATTTGTATAATTGTGAGAAAGTACGCGATCGTATTCGACGCCAAATAAAATAAATCCTTGAAAAGTAAAATAAGAAATAATATCACACCGTGGGTATTATTAATTAAAAACCTATTTTGCTTTATTCACCATTGGTTCGATATATAATTCCAATAAAATGGCGAAATGATTTAATAAATAAAACAATTTATAAATATAATTACGACAAGACAAAGTTTCTTTATTAACAAAGAAATGTGTTCAAAAAACTAACCAATGTCATAATACATTAGGCATAATTTTTGTAATTTTGCAATAGTAAGCACAAGAATGTTTGAACCACTGATAAACAAATTATTTTTATCTGAAAATTTTTCAATAAATAAAATATTTTCTGTCGTTATTCCCAAGTTTCTAATTATGAATTAATTATTTTCCATTGAGGTCTTCCAAAAAGATAAGATTTTTTAAAGCATAGCAATATTAATTATAAAATATGGCTCTCACAAACTGGCAAATTATAGTCGGATCTACTAAATGCACCAAATGTTCAAAAATCAGCACAAATGTACATTAATAGAATACGTGGAAGTTCCAAATTTTCTTTAAAATTCCAAATGTAATATTTAACACTTACGATAAGAACATTTCAATTAGCGAACAATATTTTAGATCCGTTTTATTATTAATAAAAATTAAATTTGTTTTCCGTTACCACTTTTGCTCCTGTTTTTGCTGAAAGTAAATTTAAACGATGTGAGTAAAATTAGGACTGACGAATTGGGCAAAAGTCAAGAAAATAAATACTCGAAATTGATTTCCAGACTCGGGGTCCGGAACACGAGGAAAGAAAACGTAAAACTTAAGTGACTTATTAGATATTTAATGGTGGTGGACAAGCGATTACGTTGATGTTCAGCACTTTTCCGCTTGGATTAACGTTCTCTGGATTCATTTTCCACAACGTTGCCGCTATGTATTTCACTTGCCATGTGCTATGACACAAACACATAGCGGTACACAGAAAGCATACATTAATTATTTTTTAATGCAAAAATATCGGCCACTTTATCCACTATCCCATAGCCTATGAAATTCTGGACTATGAAACCTTACTACATTTCTTAGCTTGCGTAGCCGGTATTATTTGTCATTATTTACCGAAACTCTCGCGTTCCATAACTAGCTCCTTAGAATTTTCTGGGCGATTTGAAAACCCTTTAACAAAATCATTTCTATCCAGGGAACTCCATCGGAACTGGAGTGGCAACAGCGCGGATCCCGTGGTTTCCACCAAACGAATCGGACAAAAACAAAACACGAAGTGAATCCGTTTCTGGCAGTTCGCCGATAAAACTTAACTGTTTATGAACACTTGTTTGGGTTACATTTTTTAGTCTAAGGTACGAACACAAACAGTGTAGCAAGCGGTCTCGGCAAATTTGAAAGGGTTTGCGTGTTTTCCACAGACTTTTAATGTCTAGTGTAAACTTGAAAAAGGAAAACAGTGTACTTCAACATTACAAATTTTCGAAGTCAGAGCTTGAAAATCTTGTAAAGTTTATAAAACTTTATCGAAATTGTTAGAAATCATCTTTCTGCTCCACAGAAACTGCAAGTATAGCGTTCAGCAATATTTATGTTTGTCGGCTTCACGAAGCGTAGTAAAAGAAAATTTTTTTACAGTCAATAACAAATTCTTACAAATAACCAAACTTCCCTTATTTAAAAAAAATATACAGGTTTTGGTTTTTGGAGTAATAAAAACATCTTGTATCAATACCTCCTATAAGATGAAATGCCTATAAGGTGACTGCCATGTTTTTTTGGGAAATTGGAAACAGGATTGGCTTGAGTCATCAGCACAACCAGCGCAATATGACGACTACAGATCGACAGATAACCAAGAGATCGATTTATCCAAGAATAAAACAGATTAAAGTCATATACCTTCAACGGTTATTATTGGCATCAACCAATTGACAGTAAGTGACAGCTACGTCTGGCACGATGTCAAGAACTAGGTGATCGGAAGTTAACCAGTAGTTTTTGGTGATGATCAGTCATGTTTTTGGTTGCAGGCTCACGATATTCGTAGAAGAATCCTCCGAAGGCGTACCAAAAGACACCACCTTTAATTTTGCACGGAGCGTGGGAGTGTGCTTGATAGAGTTCTTTTGGTTTGCGGTGCCATAACAGGTAGAAGCAGGTCAGCTCTAATTTTTTAGGGAAAAACATAAAACACCCAATTCTACACTAATATCCTGTTACAACCTGTTTGAACAATATCAGACTACATATCGCAGCTACTAGAAACCTCCTTCGACTGACTATGTGACCCTTGTTCTGTGGCTCGCAAGGTATGAAATGTATGTATGAAATATGATGGATAAAATGCTGAGGCGCTTGCCATATTTTATGCGATATGTACAATGTCTAAGTCGTGGGTTATAAATCCTACTATAGGCAGATATCGATAATCTGATTTGCAGCCAACCATCGATTGTTTTTATATTTTGGCCATTTAAGTCCAACAATATTTATAAAATATATGCACATATACTGGACGTTGCCATTTCTATGGTCCACAAGATATAATCAAAAATATCAAAAACCCAAATAAGAACATACACAAAAGAAATTTATACATAGAGTCAAAATCTTTTTTTAATGCCGACGGATTATAACCAACCAAACATTTTACAAATGACACGAGACGATTTAAAGAGGTTCTTCGCGGAGGTGGTCTAAAAACGAGACTTTGTCTAGACCGATAAAATAAAAACACACATTTCCTGTGCTACCTGTAATCTGATAGAGTCAACTTCCGGCCAAACGACACTTTCATTGTTGAAATCTACCTGTCGCGATCATTCCCAGATTTAGCGAATTCGTGACGACCCGAACTAAGCGTTATTTGCTTTCGGAAGGTCCGAAAATTATAGACGTATTTGTGGGCCTTCTGTAATTGCCAGTTTCTTACTTGAAATTGGGAGCTATGATGATATTGCCGAGATTTTACCTATTATGTGGGCGTGTGATTTGGATCACTTTCAACCTGCTCCCTGATGTTAAAATACACGTCTCATCCCGAAAAAACGATTTTTTGTGGGCTTCTACATCCGCATCAGAATATGTCGGTTCAGGGACATCCTGATCAAGAACATTTAGGTATAAAAATGATTACAACGTCACAAACATGGAATACGTTTTTGGGTGCCAGTTAAACGTCGAATAAAGAAATGGAATAGAAAAAAAAATTCTTCCGTCACTCGTTTAAGAGTGCTCCGCTCCAATCGGTGTTTATCAAACTTATTGCAGAATAAACTATTATCAAATACCACAAAAGGGTATTTTACATTACCACTTCTTACATCAGAAAAGAAGAACTATGTTTTCTTCGCAAACATACCGAGAATGCTGATATTACTAATCATTTATATAGTAGATATCTGAGAACTATGTTTTTACTTTTTCAATGAAAAATAGGCCAATTATATATTTTATTCTGCTGATTTTGATCTTGATTAATTCGGCTTTGCCAGATTTTAATTAAAAAATCCCTAAAAGGGGTTATAATAAAAATCACAGCCCAGTGCATCCCTATTTGGAAAAGTCTTTTACATACCTACATAAAAGGGTTAAGGAATTTACTGGCACTGGCAGAAAACAAAAGTCATACCTCCTTATAAACAACGAAAACATTGTAGTAGATATCGAAAGACAGATGCTATAATGGGAAAGGTACATTAAAGACTTGTTCCATGATCAGAAAGTAAAGATACAAGCTATTACTGATGAATAAAGGGGGCCTACTATTCTAAAAGAAGAGGTAAAATGTTCAATATAAACAACAAAAAGTGGAAAAGCGCTGGGTCGGGACGAAGTACCAGTGGAAGTGTTGAAGTTGATTGAAGAGCAACATTTGGACTTTATAACAGCACTATTCAATAGAATATACATAACGGGGATCATACCAACGGAATGGCTCCAAAAGACCCAAAAAGGCAAATGCAAAAAGATGTGATAAATATTAAAATAAATAATAATAAATAAAATTGATGAGTCACACACTGAAACTATTCTTGAAAGCTATACACCGCAGAGTATTTCAGAAACTAGAAGATAACATCTCGGATACCCAGTTCGGTTTTAGAAACGGATACAGTACTCGGGATGTATTATTTGCGTAAAATATCCTCATACAACGCTGTCTCGATATCAATCAGGAAGTTCACGCCTGCTTCATAGATTAAAATAAAGCGTTTTGATAAAGTGAGGTATAACCAGTTAGTAGAAGTGATAAATCAGAAAAACCTGAATTCGCGAGATATCAGAATCATTGTCAACCTTTACTTCAATCAGAAGGCAACAGTACGAGTGCAAGAAACGAGGCTGTGTCCTCTCGCCGCTTTTATTCAGCATTTACTCTGAAGAAATATTCACCAGACCCCTTGAATGCGATTCGGGAGGTGTGAGAG